TTCCCCCCCCCCACACCTCCAGACTATCTTCCTGTTAATGGCCCATCAATGCCATGCAGCGTGACTCATTATCCCATTGTGAGATGCTCCACCCAGAGGGAGAAAACCAGCATTCCATCCTGGATATAACCTGAGATTCTGAATACCAGAGGCCTCTCTTTCCACTGGATTTCCAGAGGACAGGAGCTACTTAGTCACCACTGGACTTTCCTGAGGAAGAGCAGATTTTTTTTTTTTTTTTTTTCTACAGGATCACTGCTTCGGGGGGACTGCAGCCACCATTCTACCAGACTGCTACCACCACCCTGATTAGCAGGGTGTCAGGTTGTATCCTGACTGTTAGTTTAACCCAGTGTTATCTGCCTTTATAATTTTTTTTCCCCCTTATTAAATTGTTATTCTGACTTGGTGTCTCCCACTAGTTTGTTTTCAAACTAGCACACCATCCCATCATTTAAACTGGATATGAGGGGGAGGGGAGATGACTGGGCCTGCTGGCAATAAGCTCAAGGGAAGCGTGCTGTTGTTCTTGTGGGGGACTTTAACCTCCCAGAGATCTGCTGGGATCACAGCACAGAGAGAGGGAACATTCCAGGAGGTTCCTGGGCTGTGTGGAGGATAACGTCCTCACCCAGCTGGTGAGTGAGCCGGCAGGGAAGGTGCCCTCCTGCACCTGCTGCTTGGGAACAGGGGAGAGCTTGTGGGGGAGGTCAAGGTCGGAGGCTGTCTCGGGTGCAGTGACCATGAGATGATTGAGTTTTCCATCCTTGGAGAAACTATGAAACTATGAAAGGGATAGTAAAACTGCCACCTTAGACTTCCACAGGGCTAACCTTGACCTGTTCCAAAGACTGATTGACAAAATCCCTCAGGAGGCTGCCCTGAAGGAAACGGGAGTCCAGGAAGGCTGGACATGCTTTAGGAGAGCAGTCAGAAAGGCCCAGGAGCAGGCTGTGCCCGTGAGCTGGGAAAAAAGCAGGCAGGGAAGGAGACTGGCCTGGCTAAACAGGGACCTTTGGCTGCGTCTCAAGAACAAAAGGAAAATCTATTGCCATTGGAAGAGGGGCAGGTCTCTCATGGGGACTATAAAGATATAGAGAACTTATGCAGGGAGAACAGGACAGCCAAAGTGCAGCTAGAGCTCAACCTGGCTACAGCTGTTAACAAAAAATGTTTCTATAAATTCATCAAGAGTAAAAGGAGGATTAGGGAAAATCTCCCTCCTTTCCTGGATGCGGAGGGAAACTTGGTAACTAAGGATGAGGAAAAGGCTGAGATGCTCAACACCTACTTTGCCTCAGTCTTTAGCAGTGGAACTGGCTGTTCCCTGGACACCCAGCCCCAGGAGATGGGAGATGGGGAGGGGAAGCAGACTGAGGTCAGCACAGTTGTGGAGGAGCTGGTCACAGACCTGCTGCACCCCTGGGATGCACACACGTCTGTGGGAGCGGGTGGGTTACACCCAAGGGTGCTGAGGGAGTCAGCAGATGTGCTCACCAAGCCACTGTCCATGATTTACCTGGACTCATGGCTGACTGGGGAGGTCCCATGGGGCTGGAGGGTGGTAAGTTTAAAATTCTAAATCTAATTCCCTAAGCAGTATCTAGGTGTACCTAGTAAATGATCACTGACCAATTCTTCGGCCTGGGTACAGGGCTATACAGAGGAATTCAGAGTAGCATTGGTTTTCGGTTAGATGTGCAAAATGCAAGATAAATGTAAACATGTAACCCTGCTAAAATATCTCTCATAATTCTGTATTCATACTGGAATCAAACATTATTAATTCTGATTGACTCGGGGACACCTGGGGGGGGACACTGGGGGCCCCCCAGGACACTTCCCAGCCCCACAGAGAGGTCCCAGGGCACTTGGAGACACTGCAGGGGTGACATGGGGAGAGCAGAGGACCACCAGGCCACCCCCTGTCCCCAGCAGCAGGGTCCCAGTGGGGTCACTGGGCAAACTGTGCTGCTGCCTGGGGATCCTGTTGGCTTTCTCAAAGGAGGAGGGGGTCTACTGTGGACTGTCCCCAGGCTCTGATTTGGGGGGGACAGCACTGGAGGCAGTGGCAGAGGGCGCAGTTTGGGTGCTGGGGTGGTGGCACCCGTGGGTGTCCAGTGTCCCATTTGGTGTCACTGGTGGGGGACAGGGACACCACGCTGTACGTCTGGATGCTGCTGGTGACAGTGGCACTAGGGACTGTGGGTGCCGCTGTCACCAGTTTGACCACAGGCTGGACACTGGGGACAGTGGTGATGCCAAGGGAGGTGGCCTGTGGGCACAGGGCTGGGGCTGAAGGTCATCACCTGTGGGGCAGGGGGACAGTGTGGGACACGGGGACAGTCTGGGGCATGGGAACACGGGGGGGCACAGGCACCATCAGGGGTGTGGGGACCATGGGGGGACATGGGACAGTGGGGGACAAGGGGACAGTCTAGGGCAGGGGACATGGGACCATGTGGGATGTGGGGACCGCGTGGGGAGCATGGTGGGACATGGGGGTCATGGGGTCCATGGGGATAGTGTGGGGGACTCGGGAACCATTGCTGCCACCGTGATGGGGACCCCAGGACCCTTGGGGTGACACGGGTGACAAGTCCCCAGCTGTGTCCGGCGCAAGTGCTCGTTCAGGGGCTACCCCCCCACGCAAGGCTGGGCTCACGCTGACCCCAAAAAGCAGTTTCTTGCCACGGAAAATTGCCCTTTCCCCCGGGACTCACCCGGGACTTCCCCCATGTTGTGAGTGGCACCAACCTCAGTGGGGGGGCAGGAGGCTGAGGGCATTCCTGCCTGTCCGTGGGCGTGGCAATGTCACCGAGGCCATGGTAACCTGTCCAGGGTGTCCCTGCCCATCTAGCAGGGTGTGATGTCACAAGGGCCACGGTCACCCCTGGCAACAAGCCTCTAACAAGGGTCGCTGGGCTCTGGTCATGGTCAGTGCGACCTGGGAGGTGAGGGCAGGGCAGGGCAGGGGTTCCTTGCTGAGGGAGGAGGGGGAGTTCCACACCTCGTGGCGCTGGGGCTGTGCTGAGAGATGACCCATGCCCCGCTTCTCCCTCAGAGTCAGCCGAGGAGCATCTGGGAGAGACACCCCGGTGCTGCTGGGACAGGGACGCTCCCAACGCTCGCTGTGGACATGTCTATGGCTGAGAGGCGAGAGGAGGCTGCCAACTTGACAGAGCAGGGTGAGAGCAAAGTTTCCCTCCCGCAGCACAGCAGAGGGGCTGTCGGGGGGTCAGCGTGGGGCCGAGCACGGTGGCAGGGGGAGGCAGTGCCTGTGATGCCCCTTCCTCGCCATGGCCCCCAGCCCTACCCCTCACCCCCCAGGGACTGAGCAGGGCCCTGAGGATGATCCCTCAGGGACGCTTCCCCCAGCCCACAGAGGTGCTCATTCCTGTCGGCGTTTGCTCTCTCCCTCCAGCGTGCATGCTGTGTGGCCAGGCAGCGGCGGACCTGGTTCTCTGGGGGCACAAAGTGGAGCAGGAACACCTCTGTGCCCATCTATTTTGCCTGGTGAGTGCCCCGAGGCTCCCTCCAGCTCCCCGACAGGCACTCCTGCCCACGCTCTACTCATCAGCTCCTCCTCTCTCCTGCAGATTTTTGCCAGCAAGTTGTGTTACTGGCAGGACGAGGAGTCAGGGCAGCAGAGGTTTATCCCTGAGGACATTCCCTGCATACTCGAGAGGGTTGTCGACAAGGTCAGGGAGATTTGTGTGAGGAGAGGTTTGGGGGAGCTTATCCCAGAGCCCAGGAAAGAAATCCCAGCCCCTCTGAGCAGCTCCACGACAAAAGCCTTGCTCCCAGCAGCTCCACAGAGGCTCCAGCCCAGGAGCCTGGTGCGCCGGGCGGATCTGTGGGCTGTGGCCCAGCAGCGGCCACATCCTGCGCCCTGCCCAGAGGCACGGGGCTGGCTGGGGAGGCCCTGAGGCTGCCGCTGACTGGGCTGCTCTTCTTCCAGCAATGCTTCGTCTGCGGGGAGAGTGGGGCCGCCATCACCTGCTGCCGAGAGGGCTGCGACCGCAGCTTCCACCTGCCCTGTGCCATGGAGGGTGAATGCGTCACCCAGTACTTCCTCCCGCACAGGTATCTCCTGTCCCCTCCTCGCCCCAACCGGGGAAGGACCCAGTGCTTCTCACCTCACCCATCCCTTCCCTCTGCCCCCCAGGTCCTTCTGCAGGGAGCACCGCCCGGAGCAGGAGGTGGAGGCAGCTCCAGACAAGGACACCACCTGCATCATCTGCCGGGGCCCTGTGGAGGACAGAAAGTCCTTCCACACCATGGTGTGCCCCATCTGCAGAGAGGCCTGGTTCCACCAGGGCTGCATCCAGGTAAGAGTCGTTCCCTCGCCCCCGGCACTCAGCAGGCGCTGGACAGCACCAGGGTCTCACTCCTGCTCCTTTTGTTTCCGCTGCAGGGCCAGGCTTAGTACGCTGGCACTATCGCCTTCAGATGCCCCGTCTGCAGAGACCAATACGACTTTCTCCATGGCATGCTCACCGTGGGCATCCGCATCCCCGGGAGGTTAGTGTCCTGCCGGCTCACAGCACAGGAGGCTGTGAGCCCTGTGCCATGCCCGGGGCTGCCCCTGCAGTCCTGCCCCTCCGCTGTCGCATCTGCCTGGGCTTCAGCTTCATGGAGGAGCTGTAAAGACGGCAGGGGGTGGAGCAGGGCTGCCCTGCATTGGCCTTATGCCGGGCAGCAAGGGCTCTGCCATTTCCCTTTCTCCATCAGATTGCCATCTTGGGACAATGGGCCTCTGGATGAAGCGCTAATGGAGAGGCACAGCTGCTGCGACACCTGCCAGTGCCTTTGTCCCGGGGGCAGGGAGCAGGCAGAGGAACGGGGGTAAGTTGCCAAAGCGGCACCCTGGGCTCTGCACAGGACCTGTCTCACCAAGAGCTCGAAGCACAAGGACTGAGAACAGGAGCTGTGCTGCACAGTCCCGTGCTGCAGTCACTTTGTCCTCACAGCCATGAACCCTTTTATTCTCCAGGCCCTGGGAACTGCTGCTATGCAGCTCCTGTGCTGCCGAGGGCACCCACCGGCGCTGTGCCAACCTGAGCACCAGCAGGAGTACCTGGGAGTGTGGCCTGTGTGCTGGCCAGGGCACCGGTAAGAGGCAAAGCACCTTCATGCCCCTGGGCTGGGGCCAGGGCCCAGGCAAAGCCTGGCAGCAGGTGCCCAGGCTGGGCTTTGCAGAGCCTCTCTGCCCCAGGAGGGCTGGGGGCACCGCTCTGACCTCTCCACAGTGGCCTCTGTGCCCCTGACCTTCCCGCTTCCCCTTACAGCCTCCAGTGACTGCTCGGAGCTCGCTGGCTCTGGCATAGGGAGCCAGTCAGGACCGGGCTCATCCCAGGGCTCCCCAGTGCCGCAGAGCAGCAGCCCCAGCCCCGCCAGCCAGCTGCCAGAGGAGTCCTGCCCTCCTCCAGCGCTCGAGGGCAGCAGCTCCAGCCGCCGTGGGCCCGTGTGGAGGAGGGACAGCTCCCGCCTGGAACGTCGGGCCCAGAATCCTTACAGCCGGCCTGGACACAGACACGGGACTGGCTGTGCACGGACCCCATCTTGCTGGCCCTGATCCCCCTCTACCAGCACAATAAAGTTATCTGTTGGCCTCTGCCCTGGGACATTCCACGCTCATTTGTTGGCTCATTTCTTCAGGGGCAGCGTTAGGGGCCAGGCCCAGAGGGTTTCTTCCCCAGGGGCCTGGCAGCCCCTTGCCCAGCCCTCCCTCCTTGCGGGCTGCCTTGGCCAGCTGCCCAGCGCCATGGCCATGTGCTTCGGGCCTCGCTGGCCCCACAGCCGCCTCAGTCTCCCCGGGGAAGGGTCACACCAGGGGCAAAGCTACTTTTCTTTACAAGCTCTGACCAGTGTCACGGCTGGAGCTGTGACATGGAGATTGCTGTAGGCGGTCTTGCGACAGTAGTCGAAGGGCATTCCCATTGCCCGGTTCCGGGTCCTGTTGCCGACCTTGATTGTTGCTGTACCAGACCCATCCAACACACCATCAGCTCAGGCCACACCGAAGCTCCTAGGAAGGAATGTTGTCCCTGGCCTTCAGCAGCCCTGGGCAGCCTGTTCAGCCCAAGAGCAAACCCGGGGCTCTGCGCTTGCTCAGCCCCTGTCGTGCTTTGAACTCGCCTGGCAGCCAAACCCCACGCAGGCAGTCGCTCACCCTCCCACTGCCAGGAAATATGGGACCAATTGGAAGGAGAAAGGGAGACTCATGGCTTGAGATAAAAACAGTTCTGTAATTGCAATAAAATAATAACAGTGATCGAAAGTACAAAGGGGTGCTTCACCCTGTGATTGCTCACCACCTGCCCACTGATATCCAGCCCCTTCCCAGCCAGTGATCCGCAGAAACTGATTCTCCAGGCCCTTCCCCAGCCTCGTTGCCCTCCTCTGCCCTCGCTCCAGCACCTCGGGATGTCTCTCATATTGAGGTGCCCAAAACTGAACACAACCCTCCAGGTGTGGCCTCACCAGTGCAGAATACAGCCACCCCTCCCCGAGCCTGTAGCCATGCAGGGGGTGGTTGTGGCCCAAGGGCAGGACCTGGCACTTGCCCTTGTTGAAGCTCATCCCGTTGATGTTGGCCACCGATCCAATCTATCCAGGTCTCTCTGCAGAGCCTCCCCGTCCTCATGCAGATCGGCACTCCTGCTTCACTCGGTGTCACCTGCAAACACAGTGTGTTCAGAAGCAGTGATGGGGAAGGAGCAGCTTGCTTTCTTTATGCTTGTGAAGCACTGAAGAACAAGCTGGTCTCCTCACCGCTGCCAGGCCAGCGGGTAAAGCTCCCTGCAGCGCACAGGCTGTGCCAAGAGGTGCTGGGGCAGCCTGAAGGCACCAGCTCTGCTGGGCCAGGAAATTACATTGTGAGCAGGCATCAAGCAAAGTGGAATGTGGCTTTACCTGCTCTGGGCAGTTGCTTTCACAGGCTTAATACAGTCATGCAACAGACAACTGCAGTGAGCTAGCAGTGTGCCCGCAGTGTGCCCAGGGGGCCAAGAAGGCCAATGGCATCCTGGCTTGTGTCAGCACTGGCGTGGACAGCAGGGAAGGTTTCTGAACTGTGTGCTTGGCCCTGGTGAGGCTGCCCCTCGCTGAGTGGGTTCAGTTTTGGGCCCCTCACCCCAAAAAGGCCATTGAATGACTCGAGCGTGTCCAGAGAAGGACAACGGAGCTGGGGCAGGGTCTGGAGCACAGGTCTGCTGGGGAGCGGCTGAGGGAACTGGGGGGGCTTGAGTCTGGAGAAGAGGAGGCTGAGGGGAGACCTCCTGGCCCTCGGCAACTCCCTGACAGGAAGGGGCAGAGAGGGGGGATGAGTCTCTGGAGCCAAGGCCCCAGCGCCAGGCCCCGAGGGAATGGCCTCAAGCTGCCCAGGGCAGGGTCAGGCTGGCTCTGAGGAAGGATTTCTGTGCAGAAGGGGCTGTTGGGCGTTGGAATGGGCTGCCCAGGG